AATCAGTGCATTGAGAGAAATCGAAACTGAAAGTGATGATGAAATTAACGATAGAGCAGAGAATATGCAAAGTGGGAAGGAAATCGATATTCAGGAAGTAGAACCGTCTGTTCAAAAAAGGGGATTTGGTAGACCAAGGAAAATTAAAAGTAGTTTGAAAGGTAGACCACGGAAAGAGTATCAAGTTCATCGTGAAGAAGCTCAAAATATTTTAGAATACTCATTTTTTTTTAATATACTTTATTGTCTGAATATAAATAACATATACATGAAATCACAAAAGTANTAACTAGTTTTTCTATCAATTTAGCCATTGCAGAGATTAGAGAAATTGGACGAAGACTTGATGGACCATTGATGTTTTCTCCCTTTGGCAGTGCTAACACAATCGACTTCTTCAAAAAAACTGGAAAGATTCCTTCTCTAAATGAATTATTTATTAGACTGACTAATATATCGAGTATTCTTATCGGAATATTTTCTAGGATTTTTATAGAGATTTCGTCTGAGCCTGTGGCGTTTTTGTTTTTAATGGAAAATAATGTTTCATGCAGTTCAGAAGTTCCAATTAGGTATACATTATTAGGTACAGAATCAAGCGAGTGGTACGAGGCGATGGAAACTGAACCAAAGTCAATTATCAGAAACAAACATGACAGCTCGTTGAACGGCCAAATATGAAAAAATATTGGAAATCGGATAGTTCTGAGAAACAAATATAAAGCCGGCGGAACTATTCAGAAAAAGAAGGTGAGATTAGTTGCCAAGAGCTTCAGACAACATCCAGTTATACTGTATACACTTCAATCAAACGTTTGTTCCGGTCCGGTTTGCTCTAGCTGTTAGTAATGAAATGGAAATTCATCAATATGTTGTAACAACTGTGACAATTTTCAAAATAATCTTTGACAAACACCACCAAAGTGATATTCATGAAAGAGCTAGAAGAATGCTTGCTGAACTGGAGAAAAAATACTGTGTGTCTAGTCAAAAAATCCTTGTATGGGTTTAGGCAAGCTGGAAGGTGCTGGCGTTATAAGTTGAACAGGCTATTGAAAGATTTTGAAAAAAATCCAACACATGCCGATACATGTCTATATAGATATTCTAGTAGCTTCTGAAAGTCTGGATATTATCAACGAGATTTTGGAATTCATTTGTCTGAAAATTTTGAAATCAAAGATCTATGGAAACTAATTTGAAATTTTGCATTGAAAATGCCAGAACCCCACCCCATGTTTTTAATGAGGATTTATCCTGACAGTAGTCCTGATCTCATTATAAGTTCACATTTAT